GAACCACAGTATCTGCCTATGAATACTACAGTAAATGTATGGTTTACCGGACATATGCACACAATAGAAAGCTCTACCTTAATTTACCTACATATTCACATAATAGAAAGCATTACCTTAATTTACCTGACATATTCACATAATAAAAAGCATTACCTTAATTACCGACATATGCACATAATAGAAATGTTTACAATATCTGAAGTGTTTACCTAAAATAAAAGGTATCACGCAGTTGAACTGCATATAATACAAACTATATATTTCATACGAAAGAATGTAATGCTGTAGTTTAATTGGCATAAGTATCAAGTACAAAGTATTACTTAAGTTACCTGAAATAATATTTAGTTGGAGTTTTTATTAAATATGGTAATTTACAAAAGTGAATACTGATGCTATTTCAATAATACAACGTATGTTTAAGATAAAGTATAATTAGCATTGAACGTGATTCTCACACGTCGTGGGCATATCCTAGACTAATTATTTCGTGTTACATAAAAAAATCATATTGTCTACACGTTGTTACTTGCATGTTTTGTTCTGTTTTAAACATATTAGAATTGTGGAGAAAATCAAACAAAAAAAATATATTTAAGAGAAATATATTATCTATTGTGAAGACATTACAAAATCTATTTTCTATACTTCAGAAAAGATCCAAACCCCAATATTACCAACCCCGCTCACACATACACACACATACACACACATACGCTACCACATACACGCCCATATGAACGGTGACAATCAGCTGTTCTATCCATACATACATGTAACTTACATACAAAAAAAAATACTTGTATTTATATCTTTTTCCCGTCACGGTTTTGAAAAGATCCGCCAGTTACCAATATTTTAAAAAAAAAGAAAGACAACCTTGTTTTATTTAACAGGAAAGAAAAGCAGGGTTGTCGTTCTTTACAGCGAATGTGTATTTTAAATTTCAAGATTTTCCATGGCCGGTGTTCTATTTTTTCAAGCTACATATCTCGCGACCTTGAGTTGTAATTTTAAATGCAACGGTGAACTACTTTGTCAAGGACGTAAACAATTTTTTTAGAGATAAATTGTGTTACATCATAGGCGTAGCCAACAACAGACCGCGATGGACAAGAGCGAAATTATTATTTTTTAATATTGTTTTTTTTTTGGGGGGGGGGGGGGGGGGGTTGTCTGATGCCTAATACTAATACCGTTAATCGTCGTATGAAGCTAAACCCACAGTCCTTTTTTTAAAAAATAAATACATTTTGCACAATGTGTGTATAACGTTACAGTCCAAACACGTAGGTCAATACGGCCCCATGCCAACACTCCAACACACCACCAACACACCAACACACCAACACACCAACACACCACCAACACACTAACACACCAACACACCAACACACCAACACACGAACACACGAACACACCAACACTATTAAAATGACTATGTCATAAGCTAAAGACCACTCACACCCATTGCCTTCTTATCAACACCGTCAATAGAGCCCGTGTGAGATATTACCTGGATATACACTAAGCTCTCGTTGTTCGCTAAACCTAGGTAAGCTCCAGTTTCATTAAACCGCTGCTAACATACTAACCCTTTAAGTCTACGACTCCTCTGTAATTGTACGACCCCTCTTTGTGCGACCCCTCTGTATGAGTACGACCCCTCTTTATGTGTACGACCCCTCTTTGTGTGTACGACCCCTCTTTGTGTGTACGACCCCTCTTTATGTGTACGACCCCTCTTTATGTGTACGACCCCTCTTTATGTGTACGACCCCTCTTTGTGTATACGACCCCTCTTTGTGCGACCCCTCTGTATTTGTATGGCCCCTGTCTGTTTACGACCCCTATGTTACGACCCCTTTCTGTTTAAGACCCCCGTCTGTGTACACCACTACTTTTTGTTTACCCCCCCCCCCCCCATCTCCAGCGCTACCTGAAACTTGGCGTTATATTTACCTGACATTGGATTCCTACTCTTAACACAATTCCCGGTTCTATAAATAGAACGTGCTCGTAATCTCTAAGTGTTTCATTGAAAGTGTTGCGTCATGCAGATCTTAACTAATCACGCTCACAGTCGGGAGGTAAGGGTTTACATGTGGAGTCAGTAGGAAGTAAGGTTTGATATGTGGAGTCAGCAGGAAGTAAGGTTTGATATGTGGAGTCAGCAGGAAGTAAGGTTTGATATGTGGAGTCAGCAGGAGGTAAGGGTTTACATGTGGAGTCAGATTCCATCAGAGTCAGCCCAGCAAGAGATAACGAGTTCGTGTCTACATAACTTTTAAATTAAACGTTCAACAGCTGTAATAGCATAACAATTTGACGGCCTTAGCTTTTCACTCACATTATCACACATTAAAAAAATTTATACGTTTAAAAATATTTTATAAACCTCCCCAACTGATTATTTATTTAAACTTAGGTTTAGTTAACACATTTATAAAACCTACCAATGCAAAAAAAAAAGTCTAGCCTTAGTGTGTTTTAGCGTTTTAGCCATTTTGGCGGTGTTGGTCTAGAGAAATCCAACATCACTAAGCCGGTACAAAACCACGTGCTCAAGTATGATGGAATATTGTTCTAATTTAACTCACACTAATTCGTGTTCTGAAGAAAAACTACTAGTATTTGGGTTTAAGTTAAATATTGTATTCTCAAAATATAACTGCGTATTAACTTGAACTTAATTTTTAACTCCACATTTTTTGTCAGATATCTCATCTGGCAAATCACCAGGACTACAGGCAACATTTCTAAATATAAAGTGTGCCAAAAAATTGTTTTTACATCATAAGCCAAAAACTAGGTATAACATGATGCCGGCTAAAGTAATGTTTTGTTAACATCAAAATCAACACGCATATCTCTATTTTAATCTAGCTGTAATCTTTTCGAAGTTTTACCCGGAATTCCAAAAATCTATCGATAATTGGTTATTTTGTTTTATAAACGTGGCTACTCATACAAAAATTTGGAAATTCGTAAAATTTTTTTTTTACGGCAAGGTGTTAAAATACGTTAATATGTGTACTAATAGTCGGACAATAGATATATTTATAGCAGTCGAAAGGCTTTAAAAATGTACTCACCGAAGGTAGGGTTAATAATCTTATGCACGGAGTCAAGGAAATGTGAGGGATAGCGCTCACTCAGAAGGCCATGCACCTTCAATGTGTACATGGCATCACGGGCTGTAGAATGCTCACGTGGGGAGTACTCACGCGCACACACAAGGCACAGGTCTCGTGCCTTACCTGAGGATTGTGTACCTGCTACCAGACGGACAGAAAGGTGTGTATTTGCTAGGGTGAGAAGTGGAGATACGATATGATAAAAACAACGGCCAAAATTGTTAGGGTGAGAGGTGGAGATACTATATGATACAAACAATGGCCAAAGTTGTTAGGGTGAGAAGTGGAGATACTATATGATACAAACAATGGCCAAAGTTGTTAGGGTGAGAAGTGGAGATACGATATGATAAAAACAAAGGCCAAAGTTGCTGGAGGTTTAATAGGCTCTTTATCAACTGGACAGGTTTTACTTAGATATCGCTTGGTTGTATTTTCTTATTCCTAATTACTTGTTAATTATAAGACGTCTCGATGTCGATTTACACTTTTCTTTAAAAAAAAAAACAACACTTTTTAAAATTTCGTATTAAAAAGACAAACACACACAGACACAAGTGTGTGTGTGTGCTCGTGCGAGTGTATGTACAGGTGTAAAAGTGTATGTATTTGTGTGTGTGAATGAGTTTCCATGTATGTGTGTGTGTGTGTAGTATAGAAAAGAAAAAAAAACTAAATACCTGAGCCAAAACCGGATATATACAACAGCTGTTCGTGTTTGACCTAATTGTTTGTGGAACGAACATGTGGGTGTGTGTGTGTGTGGTGGTGTGCGCCTGTGTGTGTGTAGGAAGGGGGGGGGGTGAATTTTTTGTTATTTTCTCTGAAAACTCGTGAAATGCCATTCGGAGTTGTCTACCGGTGTTTGCATTAAACCTAGGAGTACCGGATGTTACGTAGACTGCTGGGTAAGAGTGAGACTGTGTTTCCTTCGTTACGTAGCAAGAGGTACAGCGTTCATACAGCCATAGCAAAATACAGCTACAAGGTTTTATTGATAAATCTCTCACGTGCTGTACTCTTCACATCAAATATTCGTCTCTAAACAAGACAAATTGGATCTTCTATCATTATGGAAAGTTCCCTTTTCGAACCAAGTGGTCCATAGCCCAAGTGAAGTAGAGTTAACCTGTTTCTGATACCGTGGATTACGAAGGGATAGTGTGATCAGCACTATGCCCAGCCGTCTTTACTTTCCTATGGTATTTTAGGTACCCATCATAGCTGGGTGGACTCTGTGATGCTCTTCTGACTTGAATCCGGATTTGAACTCGAGACTTTCGATAGCAGTCTAGCGCTCTAGGCCACGCCGTCCCACTTCTATCTTAAGCTCACCAGATGTCTTACACCTCTACTACCTTACATGACATGATAAAGCTGTGTTTCAAATCACAAGACAAACGTATCTCGCCCATCTGGACCGGTGTCTCTTGGTCTAGTGTAAACTGTAACTATTCTGGTGAGCACATAGTATTCCTCCATAACACGATCAGGGGTGGGGTTGATGGTTTCTATTAATACACAATCATATACTACTAAATAGTATATAATGGGGCGCCCAGTAAAGCCGATGACGTAATAGAGTATGGTCAGTTCTGTGCATAGCCACCTACGTCAGAAAATACACTTTGGAGCTGTGTAGACTGTGGAATCCGAACTCGAGTCTTCTGTAATCATCAGGGATGTGCTAGGGACTTAAATCAGGTATCAAGGACATGCTACTGACTTGAGTTAGGATCCGAACTCTTATCTTTCAAGTTAGCAGTCTTGTGCTTTACCCCCCGACCACTGTCTTCCGTGGAAGTTTTTTTTTTAAATACCAAATCATACATATTTTACACAATAAGTAACACAGAGATAGTCAAGTACTGTTTATTTACAAAGAAAAAAATGCTAGAAAGATTTAAAGAACAACACTAAGTAAAAGTGTACATGCGATTAAAGGCGAAATGATATGGACATAAATTTAAATTACCTCCCATTCAACACACAACTCACACATATTAGAACACGATGTTATTATCTCCCTTTTCCATTTAAAATCATTCGCTAAATTTTTTAACATTTTCTCTGCCGCACATAATTTGACAATAATCAGCTTAAAACATTCTTTTAAACGCATGCTTTGTATAAATTAACATAAATAATAATAAATTTAAGCAATAATCTGAATTTAACATATCACAATAAACGTTACAATATGTTTATATAATCAGACTAATCGATTAAATATTCATATAACAAACCGAAGGAAATTTCAACTTATAAACACTTCGTTTTTTAAGGGAGGTAACTACGTTCAAAATGTTAACACTACTATTTTAATCGTTGTCTCTCTTTGATTATAATTTTTTATTTATTTTTATGACACTTGAAATAATACACATAGATAAGTAAATCTTAAAATTAAATTTATTGACTTTATTTTCATTTTTTTTTTCAAACTTCGGGCACAGGGGATGGGGGCCAAACATACAAATAAATTTTCCCTATAAAACATGATTTGTGATAACTTTTTTATAACAACAGTAAGCATAAACATACCTGCAATAATAACTCAACGATCAAGATGAGTAAAATTAATTAAGATTAAGCTGAACAGCTGGCTATCTACAGAGTTCGGCTCACGATGGCGTGTTTCAGGTTCAACCACTCTAATACATGCAAGCAATAAGGATTGGGCTCTTTAAGTCAACAGTACTCTCGACAATAGTGAGTGACGCCATGGGACTGACCACCCCCCTTGCTACGCTATTGACGGGGACAAACCCGACCACATAACTAATGATGTCCTTCTCATGCTGATGTCAATTTTTATATTAATGTCATTTTAAGCCGATAAAATCTTCCCGTCGACGACATCTTTATGCGTTTGACAAGTTCTTACTTATGTCATTTTCATTCTTATGTCATTTCCATGCCAATGGTATTTCAAGCCAATGCCATTTCATGCCAATGTCATTTCCATGCCAATGTCATTTCATGCCAATGTCATTTCATGCCTATGTTATTTCACGCCAATGTCATTTCGATGCTTATGTCATTTCCAGGCCAATGTCATTTTCATTCCAATGCCATCTGATTCTGGTGTCATCTTCAATTTAAATTCAATCCGCTAGACAACTATGCTAATTAATTATAATTAGTTAGCAATTTATACTTTCTCATTAGCGATCAGCGCGCTTGCTTTCTCTACCGTAATATTACCAATTATCTAAAATCTCCACACGTAATAAGAAACTGTAATTAACATTTCATTTAAATAAACCAAAAACATATCAGCTTTTAATAAAGTTGGTTTAAAAATGTTCCTTCTAATGTCGGTTTAATTAATTATTTTTTTTATTGTTTAACTGTTATCGTATTTTGAGTTTTAATTATTGGCTATTAATAATTTAATCTTTATAAAATGTATCTAGCTTTTTTTTTTAATTTACGAAAAAAAATTTTATTTGACTGAATAATTAAATGATATTTATAAATAATTAGAATCCGTTTAAAAGTTTCTTTGAGCAATAGCTATAGTGCATATATAGATCATGTTAAATTTGGTAGCAGCTGAATTTTAAAATATAGATACTTTTACGGTTTTGTCTACAGCAGAATCAGGCCGAGTAACACAAGGGGAAATAACCAACTTCCAACCCAACTCGCTTGTCTCCCTTGCACGCCGTTTTTCCCGTCAGTCAGTTTTGACGCTTTCTGACCGAGGGGCTTCTCTTTCGGAGTCTCGATGACCTCATCTTGCATGAGCGGGACGCCGTGACGCTGGTCCTGGTCTCCCGAGTTGACGTCATATCCGGTCTCTTGAGATTTGGAGTCCAGGACGACCTGAATCTCGTGGCTTTTGCTGACCGGTACCACCACCTCTTCGGACGAGTCGTAGTCTGGGACTTGAGGCTGGTTTAGCATGGCACATTTCGGGTGCATGAAACCCTGTTGGAGAAAAAAAAATTCGATTTGTCGAAATGCAATAAACAATGTTTGTTTTTTACTTTATTTAAAAGAAATATTAAATGGTTTGGCGTCACAAGTATGGAGTCATAGGCAGGTCATACATATGACGTCACAAGTATGACGTCATTCTCAGTGGTCATTAGCTAAAAATTGGTGTCTGGAGTAGAGCATCTAAGAAAGAACTCCAAAGTCACAAGTCTGGAGTTACAAGTCTGGAGTCACAAGTCTGGAGTCACAAGTCTGGAGTCACAAGTCTGGAGTCGATAATTTTAAGTCAAAAGTTATAAGTTAGGAGGCACAGAGCTAGAGTCAGAAATTTAGAGTCACACAACTAAAGTCACAGGTATAGAGCCACAAGTCACGAATCTAGAGCTACAGTCAAAAATCTCAAGTCACAAGTCAAGAGTCTACATCTTCACTCACAAATCTAGTCATATGTTACAAATCTGGTTATATGTCACAAATCTAGTTATATGTCACAAATCCAGTCATATGTCACAAATCTAGTCATATGTCACAAATCTAGTCATAGGTCGCCCACATCAGCATTTGCTTGCATCAAGTATTTTACTTCTCAGGCCCATTAAAACATTTCTCCTTTCATCTCGGCTTAGCCTTAAACCATATCAATTATGCTGTGAAACACGATAATCACATGAAACAGAATTCATTAATTATAAGACGTCAAACAGTTTACCTACCTCGATTGTGCGAACGATCAGGTTTTTCATCTTAACAGGGCAGTACCTTTGATAGGGTCCCCGTACGCAGTCGATTGTCTTCAAGGTGACTCTACAAAAAGGTGAGGTAAAACTTTAGATACACCAGGAAATAGGGAGCTGGGGGTATCATTTTTAAAAAAATGTTTAGGGGTTACCCATAAAAGACAACTCTTTTTTAGTCTAAATTCACCCCCCCACACCTTTATCGTCACATTTAGTCACAAAAAGCTGAACTCCCCCCCCCCCCCCCCCCCCCCCCCCCCCCAATCTCTGACGTCACCAAGTTTACTACACTCCTATAACCATACATATTTTCTTCAAATTTACAAAACAAATACTACGCCACATTCCCCCCCCCCCCTCCCCCCCCCTCACACATACACAAACACTACTCAGACACCGCGATACAAATGTGATTCACACACCTACCACCCACCCTCATCCACGAGTGTGACGTCATTTATAACGCCCCATCAACTGAATGTACACACACACAAAACACGTCAACACAGTAACAACAAATTCTACTAACAGTAACATCGCGTATACACTTGCGACATGTATACTATACATGTCTAGAAACAAAAACTCCCAGTACATAAGTATACTATTTTTGTTGCGATTTTTTTTTCAAGACTGGTATACTATACATGTCGCAAGTGTAGATTTGTATACTATACATGTCGCAAGTGTAAATTCCCTAACATTGAAACCTAACTGTTTACTGAACAATCAATAGCCTCAACCTTTAATTGCTTGGACTGTGAAACCCAATCATCAATCAGGCTCAACTCAATATGCACTTTATAAATCAGGTTAACATGAAGTTTACAGCAGTAGATAAAATGAGCAATAAAATATCAATCTGTCTAAAACGCATCGCGTGTAGAAAAAAAATTATTGCACTCGATAATCTGTAATAAAAGTTATGTATGTGCAATAAAGCAATAAACATTTATGCTACATAATTTGATAATTGTTTATATAGTTAGTGGGAAACAAAGCCTACATTAAGGCTACTGGACTCTTATTTTCCTCTATTCGAAATATCGCTGGTTCAATGTATTGTGGTGGTGGAATGTAGACTAATTTCTAACTTCTAAAAAACCCGTGTTTATTTCCACGGTTTGGCCATCGCTGGATATTTTATCTCTCTCCCAGGGGGATCGAAGTACGTCTCAATTTGGCAACCCGGTTTTTAGAAATTCTGTTTACATTTCCATTTTGTAAAAACTCTGGCAGATCGGGGTTTTTAAATGTTGGGTTTTTCCATAGCCCTATTGTGTTGTGTGTTTATATATTATTATGTAGATGTAGATGCTAAACTATGCGCGGTGTTTAAGTGTGTATTCCTGTTCTTTATATTTATTATTATTAGGTGTTAGCGGCGATGTAGTTTGTTTTTTGGTTGGACAAAGGCTAGGGCTGTGGTATAGCGTGGCCTAAGCAGTAGAGCGCTCGAAAGTCTCGAGTTCGAGTCCGGTTTCAAGTCTCCGAGTCCAATCAGTTCTAATGGGTACCTAACTCATATTAGGGACACATTGCTGACCACACCTTCCATTCTTAATCCGAAATCAAGAAACAGATGAACTCTACTGCCCAGTGGATCGCTAGGTCTGAGGAGGATTATTTACAGCGATTTTTTTTTGGGGGGGGGGGGGGGTGTCTATAGAGGAAGCAAATAAAAATTGCTGGATTGTTTTTGTTATGTTCCTGTCCAATCCACATCCATCCAATGGTGCCTGATGCCAGACAGTTGAACCGAATGGACAAGATGGACAAGTGCAGATGAACACAAAGACCTGGGTCCCTGAGTATCGCATTTTAATCAGCGATAGATATCTGTACTTTGATGAGAGACTAAGTGATCATCCATAAATGACGTCACGCTTTTTTGACGATTTTTACCTCCTCCCCCCCTTTCCCTCCGTTACACATCGTCACAAAAAGTCAGATCCCCCAACTTAAAATGGCGTCACACCTGAGCCTACAACCCCCTCAAAATTGCTGTTGAATTTTTCTTAAAACATCGGCTAAAACTCTTTTTTTTCTAATGCAAGAGTGTGACGTCACACCATCTGAACCCCCTCCCCCTCATAACACAGTCACAAAATTACGGACCCCCCTCCCCCCTACGAGTGTGACGTCATTTATGGACGACTACTAACATTACGATTTCGATAAGACAAAGATATAAAAAGGATTGTAACGAGTTTTTTTTTTTAAATTGTAACAAATGTTTGTGTTTGCGATGTAGGCGAAAACCTCTTCAATTATCTAATCGTGGGTAGGGGGGGGGGGGAACAGTTTGTTTCAAATAGGAAAGTGCATAATTATTGTAGTATAGAATATTAGTACGAATAGCGAAAAAAAGCTATGAAATATAGATGTAATCAAAGCTAAATTATTTTTGTAAATCGGATCCGACGATAAAAAGGTAGACAATTATGAACATAAAACAGAAGCAAAAGATCCCTTTCACTTGTATACTTTGACACAGAATTTTGAAAAAATCTTCTGCTTTTTCTTTCTTTCTACATATTAGCTTTATACTGTTAACATTATTTTCTATGCCATTGAACACGTCTACCATTCCAATTATGTGCTATCGGTATGATGGGTTGTTGAGTGCAGTTGTATAGAAAGGGTGTATCCTATAGGGCTTGTAAGTCTACGGTTTCGAAATCTACTAGCTAGCAAGTAGGAGAACGAGAAGTTGTGACCTACTTACAAGCCCTATAGAGGGGGAGAGAATGATGTGCTATTTTGGGAGAAAAGTTTGAGATTCGCTGTGATTTAAAAGTCATGTACTGTATAACAGAAGTGTGTTACAGAGATGAAGTGCTTTAACAGGAGTGGGTTTTAGAGGTTAATTGCTATAGTGAAGTGCTAAAGAAATCAAATGCTATAGAAATGATGTGCTATAGAAATGATGTGCTATAGAAATGATGTGCTATAGAAATGATGTGCTATGGTGTTGTGCTGAACAATTGAAGTGCTTTAGTAATGCGATATGCAAATGATGTTCTGTAGTGATGTGCTATCCAAATGGTATGCTATGCTGATGTAATATACAAATAAAATGATTTAGTGGAGTGCTATCCAAATATGTGTTATAGTGATGTGCTATAGAAATGTTGTGCTATACTGATGTTATATATAAATAAAGTGCTTTTGTGGAGTGCTATCCAAAAGATGTGCTATAGAAATGATGTGCTATAGTGATGTGCTATAGAAATGTTGTGCTATAGTGTTGTGATATAGAAATGTTGTGCTATAGTGTTGTGCTAAATAGTTGAAGAGCTATAGTGATGTGCTATACAAATGATGTGCTATGCTGATGTGATAAACAAATAAAATACTTTAGTGGAGTGCTATCCAAATGATGTGCTATAGTAATGTGCTATACAAATAACATGCCCCAGAGATAAAGCACTGTGTAAACTCACGAGCAAAGGGAGGCTAGTAAAGCCTCGGTCCTCTGTGACTTAGAGAGATGGTAGGATGACTCCAACTCGCGTTTCAAGGCCTCGGTCTCGTGGAAGGAGTTGGTGATGACGTCCATAAGACAACCCACGTATTCCTTCTGTGCCTGATCCTCGCATCTCGCGTTGGTCTTCAGAACTGGGTCGCAGACGAGAACAAACAACTTATTTTTGGAAGAGGAGTGGTTTTTGTGTGTCGGGGGATTGAGAGATTTATGAACACATTTAAAAATAAAGGTAAAATAAAGTCCCGTTGTTAAATTAAAATGTGATTTAATTTTAACTTTCTTTCAGTTTGGGTAAATATGTTGTTGTAGTTTGAACATGGGACGTCGTGAAACTGGGTAAAATTGTGATGTTTATTTAAATGTTTTTTTTTTCTTTGGGAGAATGGTATTGTTCGGCTTCAAGGTTAGATGGACGACCATAAGACTTGACACGGTCTAACTTATACACACAGAATTGTCACCAAGTGACATACATAAATCTGTCACAAAATGACGTACACACAATTGTTGTCACAAACTAGCTTTACTGAAAAAAAAATTGTCACAAACTTACACAAACAATTGTCACAAAATGACTTTCACAAATAATTGTAACAAACTGACTTACACAAACAATTGTCACAAAATGACTTACACAAACAATTGTCACAAACTGACTTACACAAATAATTGTCACAAACTGACTTACACAAACAATTGTCACAAGCTGACTTACACAAACAATTGTCACAAACTGACTTACACAAGATATTGTCACAAAGTTCGTGGATAGACCGCTGCCAATGGTTGAAGTTAATGTTCAGCTCTAAGTGTTGGATGCCCTCCTTGCTCTTGGCGCACTGGATGTAGAGGTTGTGTAGGCATGTGAAGGTGTTTTCGATGGCACCATTCCTGGCAGAGAGCGACAAACTCATTCATTACTTCACAATATAAGCATCACTTAAATACTTCATTCTCTGTCTATTAGGAGCCGAGTTATAAAATTATAAAAATGGTCGGCTCGGTATAGCATTTTTTTCTTAGATACCTAAGCGGACTCCCAGGTAAGCCACTGGGGATGTAAGACATACGAGGCGCCGGCGGAGCGTGGCTATGGGATGGCGGGTTAGGCGGCCGCCTCGGGAGCCGACCTTAGGGGGGGGGGGCACCGAATTGGGTAGAAATTTTTTTTTAATGATAAACTCTTCAATTTAGTTAAAATGTATTGGTTTTACATATGAAGGGCTCAGTGGAAAAAGTACTTAAGTGTATTTTGAGAGTTTTGAGAAAAATGAGAGCAAAGTTTTTAAATTGAAGCTGAAATACCAAAACAGCTGATGCAAAGTATTCGAATTAAGCTACTTCCGTATTTTTTCAATGGCCCAAATTTACAGGGATGGTTAAGGGTAGGTAATCAAATAATATACCGGTCTTAACTCATTTTTTGAAAAAATGTAACTTAAGTACTTTTTTCACTGAGCCCTTCATATGCACTATTGCCTAGTAAAGTCGTGTTTAAAATGATTCAATAATTTACTTTAGTAGAGCTATTCACCCTAACATCACAGCTAAATTTTCAACCAAAATTGAATGGACATATAACAAGACGTTAACAAGACACCGCTGCTAAACTTAAAGCCTAAAATAAATAGACATAGATTTAAGACTATATGAGTACGTCTAATAACTAATTTTTTAGAGCATTTCCCCTTATCAGATACAGTTAAATCATCCAGCACTAAAGCAGTCACCAACTGCCGCCTCAAATATGCACAGACACATAATCGTTTAGACGGGTACTTTTTAGACTTTATACCAGAAGGATGTTTCAATTTCAAAATCGGTAATTCCCAAAGGTTTGGGAAATTTCCTGTCGATTACCAGAAAAAAACTAGGATGCAATGGAAATAAATTTTCTGTTTCCCAATTGACTACTGATGTAGGGTGGTTTTTTTTTTGTGTGTTAAAAGAGAAATTACACTTAGGAATTGTTACTCTCTTTTGTGCTATATTTGGGGTGGGGTGGTATTCCCTCGAGTAAAAATTTTAAAAAAATAGAAAAGATTCCTCATTTGCCAAAAGAGACTGAACTTAAATAAGAAATGATTATCTCGCTTATCATAGAGAAAATAAAAACAAAAGAAATGCTTACCTCCCTTGTCTAAGAGATTATACAGCTACAATGCTTAAATTTATTTACTTTTTTAAGGGGAAGGAATTTATCGTTCATAAGTCAATGGTATCAATTATTTGCAATAAATGTTTGTCGCATACGAGTTGTTGACGCTAAAAATTAATTAATTCTTATTAATAATTAATTAGAGGTTCACATTTCTGGTTTAATAAAACTCAACGAATGTTTAGAAAGTCTATGTTACCAGATAAAGTAATTTAAAGCGGTTTATATTTCATGTTGATTTAATTATCCCTTGTCTTGACGTTTTTATCTGTCTTACTTTTGAGCATAAATTCATTTTCTGTGTTAGGTAACAAGATTTAATGTGTGCTAATTGACGCGTGTTTCATTACATCGTGTGAAAGTCTGTTCGTGTTATACTGTTGTTAGTAGTGTTAGCAAAGTCAACGCGATGATAATTCATTATTGGTAGTGGCACCTCTACTTGCAGCCACTAACGTGGTAGTGGCACCTCTACTTGCAGCCACTAACTTGTATTGGCACCTCTACTTGCAGCCACTAATGTGGTAGTTGCACCTCTACTTGCAGCCACTAACGTGGTAGTTACACCTCTACTTGCAGCCACTAACGTGGTAGTTGCACCTCTACTTGCAGCCACTAACGTGTTAGTTACACCTCTACTTGCAGCCACTAACGTGGTAGTGGCACCTCTGCTTGCAGCTACTAAAGTGGTATTGGCACCTCTACTTGCAGCCAGTAACGTGGTAGTGGCACCTCTACTTGCACCTATCATATAAGTTATAAAAACGTATTTTACCTTTCAATAATTGACCCTAGCTCACCTGTAGCCCAGTGACTCCCATCTAACCTGCAGGTAGATGACCCCCCCCCCATCTAACCTGCGGGTAGATGACCCCCCCCCCCCCATCTAACCTGCAGGTAGATGACCCCCCCCCCATCTAACCTGCAGGTAGATGACCCCCCCCCCATCTAACCTGCAGGTAGATGACACCCCCATCTAACCTCCAGGTCAATGACCCCCCTCCCATCTAACCTCCAGGTCAATGACCCCCCTCCCATCTAACCTCCAGGTCAATGACCCCCCTCCCATCTAACCTCCAGGTCAATGACCCCCATCTAACCTGCAGGTCAATGACCCCCTATCTTACCTGTAGGTCAATGACCCCCTCCCATCTAACATGCAGGTAGATGACCCCCCTCCCTTCTAACCTGCAGGTCAATGACCTCCTCCCATCTAACCTTCAGGTCAATGACCCCCATCTTACTTGCACTGCTGGTCCAGAACGTTGAGGTTCTGGAGGATGAGGAAGATGCTGCTGGCGCCCACGGCCTGGGTAGTGTTGGCACCCAGGAGACTCATGCAGTGCTTGACCTTGGCATCGACGTTTCTGGGGCACCCGGCATCAGACCAAGCCACTGAAGAAAAATAGACACATTTGTTAAGTAATGGGTTCAAATATGTATAGCACCTATATCACACAGGATGTGATGATAAAAGTGCTTTAAAAAATTAAAACGTAAACAATAAACTGTATCTTAGTTCTGCCGAACGAGAGTCTTTAAATAATATCTATATTATATTAATTGCATCTTATAATAGGTATGAAACTATGATTTAAATTTAAGTAACATACGATACAGCTCACGACAAATAATATTATATATATATATATATATATATATATATATATATATATATATATATATATATATATATATAAAGTCACAATACTAACAGTGCAAAGCTTTCTAAAAGTTAATTTTTATGGAACAATCGTAAGAGAACAATACCATGGGACATTTGTCAAATGTTGGTACTAGGGAATAGTCGTCAAAATAAATGCCTGAAGTATTTGTCTCTTCTAAGTTCTGCTGGAGGGGGGAGATGCTTAGTAACAACCCGAATCTCCCTAAGCTCAGCAACATGGGACATGGAACATTTGTCGTGTCTCGGTTCCACCGGGGATATGCTCACAGCTCAGCACCATGGAGCATTTGTCGTGTTTTAGTACCACAGAGAATCACCCAAATCGCGGCACCGTGCAACATTTGTCAAAATCTACACCGCTAAGATTTGTCTAAATCTATCACAACAGACACAATCGTACTCCCCCCCCCCCCGCCCCCCAAAGAAAACATCTGACTTTGAAAATAATTTCCCAACAGGGTTTATCCGCGTCATTCCTCTGACCACCACCCCCCCCCCCTCATGATGACCGCTGGGGGACGTCTTTTGGCCCAAGTTTCCCCCAGCCCGAGACCGTGCCGGCCCGACCCCCGGGACGACAGAAGCATTTTACAGCTTGTAGGGGACGCGGTAATGTCGGTCCTGCTAGGTTTGTCTACAAGATATAGTGCCAGACTTACTCGGCGCTGTCGACAGAAAAATCAATTCCAGTCTACACAACCAGAGGAGATTTTCATATAAGTACAAACATTTTTTTTCATCGATTGCCAGAAAACTTTTTGGCTCGCTTTCAACAGTGTAGAAAATTGTGATTGTAATTATTGTAAAAAAATGTATTCGGGCTTAGATTGTGCACTATAGTTTTAAATTATTTACAACGTAAGTTATATTCATTGATTTTTTTAATATAGATTATTGAACGAAATTTTTGTATCGATAAAGTAGTTGTAAACTGAGGATAGAGATTTAATTTATTGGTTTGATAAAAGTGATTCTAGCTGAGGGCAGCAACCTTTCTGTTGCGAGCTTCACTCTAAACTTTACTATTGAAACTCTTAAAAGCTAAAATCGTGTTTCCTTACGAAATTACACCCCACTTCCCCGAAACTTCGACATTACAACCCCATTTCCCTGGACTGTCGACATTAAACCCCAATTCCCCGGACTGTCGACATTACAACCCCACTCCCCCGAAACTTCGACATTACAACCCCCCTCCCCCGAAACTTCGACATTACAACCCCACTCCCCCGAAACTTCGACATTACAACCCCACTCCCCCGAAACTTCGACATTACAACCCCACTCCCCCGAAACTTCGACATTACAACCCCACTCCCCCGAAACTTCGACTCTAAACCCCACTCCCCCGAAACTTCGACATTACAACCCCACTCCCCCGAAACTTCGACATTACAACACCACTCCCCCGAAACTTCGACTCTAAACCCCACTCCCCCGAAACTTTGACATTACAACCCCACTCCCCCGAAACTTCGACATTACAACACCACTCCCCCGAAACTTCGACATTACAACACCACTCCCCCAAAACTTCGACATTACAACCCCACTCCCCCAAAACTTCGACATTACAACCCCAACTCCCCCGAAACTTCGACATTACAACCCCACTCCCCCGAAACTTCGACTCTAAACCCCACTCCCCCGAAACTTTGACATTACAACCCCACTCCCCATATGACAGCTTTTCTTACAGCCACTTCTGGTAAAGTCCTTTCTCCCTGGCACCCAGAGGTGTAGTTTAGGGGAGTGGTGAGCGGGGGTGGGGTGACGCCTTGGATGACGTCCCTTAAGGGGTGGGGGTGCCAACCAGAGTAAAACACATTGACCTGATTTCATAAATTATACAGAGTCGAAGTTAAGAAAATTGACCACTGCAATGCTCCACAGACTTCTTTAACTGTTTTCTACATCAGTTGTGTAATGGCAAAGTAATTACCCTTAAGAGTCAGTTACTGGTAAGTCCGCCCAACCCCCGCCCCACCCTGCCCGACCCCGCCCCATCCCCGCCCCACCACATTTTACGATTTTCTAGAGTGGGGCAGGGGTTTTTCGCATCAGGGTTGTTGTGTAGAAGATTCCACTGTTCCGTCATGTTGGAAAATTTTAAGTTTCTGCTTCGAAATGAAGACAGTCTTTGGTCTGCTTCCTACCCACCCACCCGATCTACTCGTGTTTACAAAACTCACAGACAACCCCGTCCACCACCCCCACTCCCAA